GTCATTATTTTACAAACAGAACATATATGTGCTACTATAATGCTCACCGGCTCCCGTCATTATTTCACAAACGGAACGTATATGTGCTAATATAATGCTCACCGGCTCCCGTCATTATTTCACAAACAGAACATATATGTGCTACTATAATGCTCACCGGCTCCCGTCATTATTTCACAAACAGAACATATATGTGCTACTATAATGCTCACCGGCTCCCGTCATTATTTCACAAACAGAACGTATATGTGCTACTGTAATGCTCACCGGCTCCCGTCATTATTTTACAAACAGAACGTATATGTGCTACTATAATGCTCACCGGCTCCCGTCATTATTTCACAAACAGAACATATATATAATTCTCACCGGCTACTATAATTCTCACCGGCTCCGTCATTATTTTACAAACAGAACGTATATGTGCTACTATAATGCTCACCGGCTCCCGTCATTATTTCACAAACAGAACATATATATGCTACTGCTTCTCACCGGCTCCCGTCATTATTTTACAAACAGAACGTATATGTGCTACTATAATTTCACCGGCTCCGTCATTATTTTACAAACAGAACGTATATGTGCTACTATAATGCTCACCGGCTCCCGTCATTATTTTACAAACAGAACATATATGTGCTACTATAATTCTCACCGGCTCCCGTCATTATTTCACAAACAGAACATATATGTGCTACTATAATGCTCACCGGCTCCCGTCATTATTTCACAAACAGAACATATATGTGCTACTATAATGCTCACCGGCTCCAAACAGTCATTATTTCACAAACAGAACGTATATGTTCTACTATAATGCTCACCGGCTCACCGGCTCCCAGAACGTCATTATTTTACAAACAGAACGTATATGTGCTACTCTAATGCTCACCGGCTCCCGTCATTATTTTACAAACAGAACGTATATGTGCTACTATAATGCTCACCGGCTCCCGTCATTATTTCACAAACAGAACGTATATGTGCTACTATAATGCTCACCGGCTCCCGTCATTATTTCACAAACAGAACATATATGTGCTACTATAATGCTCACCGGCTCCCGTCATTATTTCACAAACAGAACATATATGTGCTACTATAATGCTCACCGGCTCCCGTCATTATTTCACAAACAGAACGCATATGTTCTACTATAATGCTCACCGGCTCCCGTCATTATTTCACAAACAGAACGTATATGTGCTACTATGTAAAAAGGTGAAACAAGCTTAATTTTATCATTTTCAACGCTATCTAAGTTCAAGTGTCTAAACATGCAAACTGATTTACAAAATGTCTGCATATGATGAATGACATCGACACTCCAGCACACTGCATGATTGTCCTTGTTCACGGACCAGGTACCCCCTTTCTTGACCTCGGCCAGCTGATAAGAATGGGCCCTGTCACAATATTGACATTCTGAACACGATTGGATTGTGTTCCCTCTGTGAACCAAGTAGAACACGACCTTGTTACCTTACAACACGACTGTATAGGTATCAATGGGGTTCACATATCGCCTTCTGTGAACTATCTCACGACTGTTGAGCTTGCAACAGCTGACTGGGCACACCTAAAACATGTAGATGTAACGCCACAGATTGAAGCAGTCTCAGCGGGGGTCCCACACATTTCCAAAACTCATTTAACGTCTGTTATATGCTGTTAAGTCGTCGGATACTGCGTAGTCTAGGATAGTCAGCGGAAAAAGAACACAGGCCACATTCACGCGAATTTAGGTCAACCAGTCTGTGTTGTGCACTACGGTAACCCAAGAGTGCAGTGTGACCTACCTCGGACCGAAATTGATACAATGAGTAATGAGAATATTTCATAGTGTTTGCGCTATGATGGACTGGAGTTGATGTCGTCCGAGGTATTCTTCAGAAGATACGAGCATGGTTTAGATACCCCTGCCTGTAATTGTATTTAGTCACTTTATATAGCAAATAACCGTAGATGTAATTTGATTTGAACATCAGGTTTGGGGCATATCTATTGCTACTTGAAATATTTTAGTGTAAGTTCATAACATTTTTCATTTGAAAATATTCCAAGGTTACCATGACAACGATCTGCAATAATTGGATATTTTTTTATCTTTACTTTATTTTCTGTGGCAAGATACCCTGAGTGCACATGCTATTATGCGCATACTGAAACAGCGATACACACCGCGTTGTCATAAACAATGTATGTATTTATAAACAACATCCAACATTCCGTGTCTCTGGTATCAGACATTAACGCTGAGTGTCAGCAGTGCTTCACCGTAGACAAAATTCATCTATGTATAGTATGACCAGAAATTATTGAGAATTTTAGGAATATGTTTAATTGTATTTATAGTATAAACAACCGTGACCAGCTATCAAGTGCTTGGTTTCATTCAAGCGAGACATCCTTTTTCATTAGTTTGTGAAGAGTTATCCCCCTCGTTTACTTGCTAGCAGACGACATCTTCAGTGATCCTCAGCATTGATGATTTAGAGAAGAGGAAGTTGATTTTAGAGTATTATATCAAGGACATCAGATCAGCTAAAGTCATTTCAAGTAGAACAGGCATCCCTTTGTCCACTGTTTATCGTGTTTTGAAAATATTGCAAATGGATATTGCATTGAGCACCAGGGAGGCACAGGTAGGCCCAGAAAATTGACTGTCGGCGACAGGAGGCGGCTTGGTATTCTTGTTTTTAAAAACAAACGAAGGTGTTTAGAAAACTTAAGGCTAGATATGATTGATAGAGGAACTGTAGCTGTCTGTAAAAAGACAATTAGAACTGAGATGCATGCAATGGGTTGGCAGAAAAGTCGAGGAATTCCATCACCGATCATGAAACCTGAACAAAAGGAGCGAAGGTTGAACTGGTGCTTACAGCATAGAGAGTTTAACTGGGACAATGTGATTTTCTCAGATGAAAGTTCTGTGTGGCTGTTTCCTAATACACTGAAATTCTGGACTAAACAAACTGAAAAACCTTTGTATCAGCGCCCAAAGTACAGTCCGAAATTTAACGTGTGGGGTGGCATATCTGTGTTAGGGGCAACGCCCCTCTGTGTATTTGAAGGGAATATGAACAGTGAGCGGTACACAGATATTCTCGAGGGACATTTACTTCCATCTGCTCACGTGTTCTATGGATAGTTTTGGATTTTCCAGCAGGACAACGACCCAAAACATCGTTCAAAGCATTCACAGGCCTGGCCTGGTTTCGGACCCAAAATATGACATTATTAGATTGGCCAAGCTATAGCCCTGATCTAAATCCAGTAGAAAATGTTTGGGGACTTATGAAGAAAAGTGTCAATAAGAAAAATCTGACAAATATTGCTGAAATGAAAGAAGAGGTGGTCCGATATTGGGACAGCATGGACCACGACTTTCTAACTTCTTTGATCAGTAGTATGCCCCGCCGCATTGCTGCCCATGGTGACTTGACAAAATACTAACTGTTTACCTGTCTTTGAATCTGGAGTAATGTTCTGCTAATATTCACATTTAATACGTGAGTAATGAGTGAAATTTAAAAAAAAAAAATACAATCTTTAAATTCTCAATAATTTCTGGTTGTACTGTAATTGTTTATAGCAAAACACAGTAACTCTATATTCAGCAGAGGCGTCAGTTGCGTCAGACTACATACATTTATCAAAAGCTTCACACATTGTCTGTCAGTGCGAGTTGCTCATACATATAAATCATCTGCACCTGTTGTCAACAGCATCCGATATTAATTAACGCAGACCTTCAGCAATGAATCAACGAAACGTCTCTGTGTGTTTGACAGAAGCACTCCACATTGACGCTGAGCGGCGACTTGTTACTTTAAGAAATCAACACATCCAATTCACTGAAAACAAAACTCATGTTTTTCTCAGGAAAAGACTCTGGACCCTCCATCTTCGACTCACTAGATCACTTTTCTTCACATATAGGGGTGCCTCAACTACAAGTTCCCTCTTTATGTATAACAAATGGCTAAGATGTGATGACACCGGGTGTCCTACACGATATTCAAGGAATCGTTATCTGGGAACACATGTCCAGGCAGTGTCGCCTTCATCTACCTTAAATACCTTTTGCCTGCGGCCAACAACGTCGACTTTGGATAACGGAGACACGTTTATCACGGCATACGGGGACATAGATGGCCGATGGGTCGAAGGTGCCGCAATCCGCTGTGCATAATTACGTCCCTTGGACACGCCAGAAACAGGTCTATTGTCGTAGACCTGAATCAGTTCAGGAATTCTCCCCATATCAAGCTGACACACCGTGATGTCACAGGAACACGGCAACCACACCTCGCTCATACTGCACATAACAATCTCTCCGGAGAGAAGTAATATAAGACACCATGTTTTTAGTGAATATCTATATATTTTAACTTGATGAAGACACAGCCTCACTCATTTGTACTGCACGTAGCCATATCTCGGGAGAGAAGAAAAAATACAAACAAATATGAGACATGGTGTCTTTGATGAATCTGTGCAGATTTTAACTCGATTCAACCTACTCAATGTTTCTAATGGTATTGTTTCAAGTATTACTTATGGTATTAGATATTCACAACATAATGTGTCGTAAGAAGCGATTAACGGGATCGGGTGGTCATGTTCGCATATGGTTCACACACTCCATCGTATCCAAATTTCATAGATCGATGTTCATGCTGTCTGGCGCAAACTCGATTATTTACAGACAGCGCTGCCATATAGCTGGAATATTGCTGAGTGCGGCGTAGAGCTAAACTCACTCACTCACATATTACACAATGACACACGGTTACACCATAAGAATTGACAAAGGATCTTCAGGAAAATGTCTGTCATCATGGAAATGATCGATGTGAGAAAAGAGTTCTATATTGTACTTCCCAACTTCTAAAATGCCACTCAAAGAAGAGAAAAAGAGTGTATTAAAGTTTGGCTCTTAGTCCAACGTTAAGGAAGGAAACAGACTTGAACTATTGCCTCTATTGTTACAGGTCCTATTGCCAGTTTACTCCTCAACAAACTCGGATGTCGAGTAACCATGGTTGTAGGAGGTCTGACGTCATCAAGCGGACTCATACTGAGTTACTTTGCCCCAAACATCATTGTCCTGTATTTGACCTTCGGCGTCATTGCTGGTATGTATGTTAGTAAGTCACGTACGGCAAATGCCAAAAGGATATACTCCACGCCTCCAGTGAGAATGGTTTTACGCCGCTTTTAGCAATATTCCAGCAATATTGCTGCCGGGGACACCAGAAATGGGCTTCACACATTGTACACTTGTGGGGAATCGAACCCGGGTCTTCGGCGTGACGATAGGAACGCTTTGATCACTAGGCTACCCCACCACCCCAGTCAGCAGAGGAGGCAGTACGATAAGGACCTTCTGAATTATTACAAGTTCCAAGATCTAGTTCTAGTTCCAGAATTTATTAAAGCTTTTTAATGGAATATCATCCTTTGTCCTGCCTTAATTGTCGTAGGAGCGGAGGAATTGATCTGGTCGTTAGTTGGTTGTGAGACTGTACCCAAGCAGTACTCCTTAACGCTGCTGAGCCTGTCTGTCTGTCTTCAGTCACACCTCCCCACTGACACATCCTGTGTTATACATGCAGCAGTACACTGAAGCTGATATTGACCCGCATCACCTTCATTGTAACCTGTTTCCCCACTATCATTATGAGTGAAACTGCCGATGTTGGAATAGCCAACCAGACCTGCAAGTCGTTGGGATCAATGACCACACGCATGGCTGACCAGCACAGGATTAATACACGAGTTTCACTGCACGTTCATCAGTACAGCTGACAATAGCAATAGTATTCTCCCCAAAGCCAACAGCTGGGAAGGTCTCGCGTTTATTACCTATCTTGTTTGTCTCGGAATATCAAGCTTGTCTAGGCTTACTTTGTTTGTCCTGACGTGTGTTGCTCATCAACGCTTATCTTGCTCATCAAGGCTTATCTTGCTCATCTAGGCTTATGATGCTCATCCAAACTTATGTTGCTTAAATAGGTTTTTCTAGCTCAACCGAGTTAGTTTATCTGGATCACTCCGTTTACCCAGACTTTTCCTCGACTCAGATTCAGTGTATTCAGTAATTCTGGCCTTAAGGCCTACATTACAATTATTGTTGTTACAGAATACTATGCAAGTCACGTGAACATATGGTTTCATACATGGTTACATTTATGGCTACGCACAGTAAAAACATGTTTGAGATATATTGCTACAGACTTAATGGTCATAATATTCTTAGAATTTAACAAATTTGACAGTGAATGTTTATCTATAACAGTGTGTGAAAGAAATGGCATATTCTTTTTTCGCTAACTTAGATACTGGGTGCATACAAACATGACATGGAACTCATCCTCTATAGCGCCTGTATTACAATTAGAACAGATCAAATCACTTTTACATTCTGTAGAAATACCATGTTTACGGTCCCTATTTACACAGAAATCATGAAAACCAATTCTTAATTTACATAAAGCTCTTATCAAAGATTTATCATGAAAATTTAAAATATACAATTCTGGTTCTAGCAAAGACTTATGAGAGGCATAATATTCTAAATATCTAGAAGTTCTAATGGACATAGACCACTCTTGAATGAAAATATCACATAGGCGCTGTTTGAAAAGAGATATAAAACCCCATAAAACTTCATTGCCAACCCCTTGGGCAAGCCATACATAGGAAACTTTCCTCGACTCACAGACTTGGACACGATACAGCCAGGGAATCAGTTGTACCAAATTAACTGTACAAACGGTTTAGTGAAATGAGAGTAAAATGAATACAGTTGATGTTAACCTATATCGTTGCTGAAATATATTGTATCTATTGCAATCCTTCAAACGTTGAACCTTATCATTCCCTAAATCTAACCAATATATATTTAGGTAAGTGTGAAGGGAATCGTGGGAGGGTCATGGAAAAATGAATATTTTATAATGAAATATACAGTACTCTTGCATTTAGTCTTTCAAGGTGTATCCTACAAACAATGTACATGGATGTAGGAGGGTCATCCCAAAACTTAAGATGGGTTATTGTTTTGTCTCTTGTCATTTCATCACATGTCGGCACATTTTACCAATTTCATTTGTGTGTAGGTGTCGGGTTCGGCATTGCCCACCTCGCCGCCATCTCCTCCGTTACCTATTACTTTGAACGACGTCGCAACATGGCAACAGGGATGGCCGTCATGGGCGTTGGCGTTGGCACGATAGCGTTCCCCCCTCTCATCCGCATCTTGGTCGAGGACTTCACCTGGAAGGGCTCTATGCTGATACTAGCAGGCTTGTGTCTAAACCTCTGCGTCTGCGCAGGGCTCATGCGACCGATCAAAAGACCGGAACTGCGCTCGGTGTCCCGAAATGTAATGGACACAAGCATATTCCGAAAGCCATGTTACTGGATGGCGTGTCTTAACAGCTTCCTAGTGTGTGTGGGTTTGTCTATAACATACATCCACATAGCAGCATATGCCGAGAACGTTGGACTTGGAACAGAGAAGAGCACACTGTTGATATCAGGGATAGGCTTTGCTAACGTGTTTGGTCGGCTCGCCATGGGACTTCTTGCACAACACCCTAAAATGAACCTTATACTTTTGTACCTCGTATCGTTTATCATAGCCGGTGTTGCTGTTACCTTGACTCCCATGGCCAAGACGTGGGACGGACTGATAGCGATAGCAGCTGTGTTCGGGTGTTTCACTGCCGGGATTGGAACCTTGTTTGCACCTATACTAGCTCGGATCTTAGGGTTGAGGCGGTTCGCTACTGGATATGGATGTCTGGCTCTTATCAACGGGTTTGGACAGATGATTGGTGGTCCCTTAGCCGGTGAGTGAGTTAAGGAAATGAGAGTATGAGAGATTTAGTTTTGAATAGAATATCAAAGTTAGCAACCATAAAGGGATCCGCAGGAGAGACTCAGCAATGTGTCATAGGAGATGTTTCAGTGATGAAATTATGTCTTATGTGACGAAATTGCGTCACAATGTGTTTAATGTCACTGTGACGCCTCCCTGTCACTGAAGTTGTTTTGCTGTACATTTTACAATCAGGACACTGGTTTTCAAGACTGGGAATCTGGTATTGGTTATTGTTATGATCTCAACTTCATGCTTTTTCATAACTATAAAATATGTCAAAAAGCCAATAATGATTTTGAAATCGTCCTCAAGCGTCACCGTTTGAGATTTTGTGTGCATCACGGCCTGAACCGAATGGCGTACGTCAAATGTGTAAAACCAATGGAAAGTGGGTTTGGCAACATATAAAGTTTTGCAATCGAGGAATGGAACCCAGGTGCAACCATCTATACCATTCGTCATTTACCTTCGCGGGACTAGCTTTTGGTGCAGCGTCTGCAAATCAGTCACACCCCTCACTCTGAGCGCAGTTAATCGGGAAACTATCTTATTTCCGATTAAACTGTTTTTACTTGAAGTTCTTTTTAATGCATTCAGATTTCAGATAGGATCCTGCATTGACCGATATCCTGTTAGTCCCATGTTGGTTTCAGACTTTCCACTGAGGTAGTGGATCGGTGACAAGAGATTGAAGTAAAATTTGAAATGAATCTTGCCCCGGTCAGTCCGCACTGGTTCAAACCGTGCCCCGTTCTAGTAAACAATCATTGAGCCAACGTGATCGTGCCTCCCACACTTTAACAACGCCATAAGACAATCGTGTTTGTCGTTGGCGGAGGAGTCCAGGTGACTGTGCTCCGTGACTTGGTTGGTCGGTCCCCGACGATACGGATTGTCCCTCGAATAAATCAACCGGTTGTCGAATAGTTACTAGCGGCTGCCATATAGCCGAGTGCAGAGTTAAACAAACAAGCAAACAAACAAACAAACATTTTGTGTTGTGTTGCAGGTCTCCTCCATGACATGACCGGAAACTACCTTGCTTCCTTCCTCACCGGGGTATCACCCTCATTCTCAGCTCTTTCTTCATGATCGTCCCCCTGAGATACAAAGACGTTGCCCTCAACACTGGCGTCTCCATCAGGGTCAACTGTAGACCAAGCAGCGCCGCATCACCACTCACTGCCCCCGTCGTCACTGACATTGACGACGACGACGGTAACATTGGGAAGGAAAATGAAGAAAATGCATCAACTGTCTGAAAGGGACATTTTTTGTTGCCAATGTTGATCAGCTGAATAGTTGGTTGTGTGTCTGCGTGTGGGTGCGAGTGTGTATGTATGTATGCGTATGATGGTTTTCTCTGCTTCGAATTTAAACATTCCATCAGGACGTGTTTCCATGACAACAAAACCTTAAACACTTTGCAGAAACTTGTTCTTACAGAACACGATTATAATACCATAGAATCTAGGATTCGAACCCATGACCTGCACCGTGAACCACTGAGCTATAGTAATTATGTGATATGACCTTATAAGAAACTCCTTACTATCTGTGGCCTTAACATTGTGATAACAATTACCTTCAGTGCCCGCCAAAAGAAACACTGTACAGAACATGCCGTTCGGGTAATCTCTGACGTCGTCCGATGCAAGGATGGGTGGTTCACCTAAATGCTAATGGTTCGTTTATATCGAATTGTAACATTGTCTCAGAATATGTTGTCCAAGCCGTTACAGTCTGTTGGTGTCAACATTATCCCTTTCATATATCTATGTTATGTCATTTGTTAATGTATGCACATATAACATGAACAAATATTTCTTTAACAAATCACAAAATACAGACAGTAGTTGTTTATTAGTTTCAGTTATATTTTAGGGAATCTCCTTTTACTGTCAATGCCTAAATATAGAGTTTACAATCACTTTTACTACTGTAACACATATTATGAAGTAATTCACAAACTAATTACTTGGCACGAATTGTTATCCTACAGTTTTATCATGAGGGAGGACACTCCTGTTGTAAGTTGTGGAACTTCTTCATGAAGTGGTATTAATACAAAGAAATTGTTTGATTTCACTGCAGACGCATTGGCAGGTTATTGCTCTGTCCACGTGCATTTATTTTCACCTTTTGTTTCGTTTACCCTATTAAATGCGATATATGTCCCCTCAGTGAGTAAGTAGGATTACGCCGCCCTATGCAATATTGATGTTATATCAGAGCAGTGGACACCTGGTAGGGGCTTCAGACTTTATCACAATACTGAAAATTGAATCCGCTGCCACTTGCATAAAGCGATCGAAGCGATAAGCCTGCCTGAGTTCTATGTGGGATAGCAGGAGATGGGATCATCGTAGAACTTAGACCGCTTTTTGCAAGTGGACACAGATATCGGGCCGACACCCGAAAGCTTTAAATTTAACCTTGAGTGCGTAACTGTGTGCGTGAGACAGGGTTTCATCGAATATGGAACGACTCGGTATCCAATTCGTAAAAGGTCATTGAGAACACTATGACACGATATTTGTCTCTTTTTAAGTATACTATATTATATATTATTTTCTTACGTTCTTTACATGAAATTGTTCTCTTGTTGTTCATTTTGAAACAATGCCAATTAAAAAATGAAATTTGCTGTATACACCGTGCCTGAAGTCTGACTGCCTCTGTGGTAGAGCGAGCAGATTGTCCTGCTGGAGATCAGTGATTCAGACAGGTGTGCCTGAAGTCTGACTGCCTCTGTGGTAGAGCGAGCAGATTGTCCTGATGGAGATCAGTGATTGAGACAGGTGTGCCTGAAGTCTGACTGCCTCTGTGGTAGGGCGGGCAGATTGTCCTGATGGAGATCAGGGATTGAGACAGGTGTGCCTGAAGTCTGACTGCCTCTGTGGTAGGGCGGGCAGATTGTCCTGATGGAGATCAGGGATTCAGACAGGTGTGCCTGAAGTCTGACTGCCTCTGTGGTAGGGCGGGCAGATTGTCCTGATGGAGGTCAGGGATTGAGACAGGTGTGCCTGAAGTCTGACTGCCTCTGTGGTAGAGCGAGCAGATTGTCCTGATGGAGATCAGGGATTGAGACAGGTGTGCCTGAAGTCTGACTGCCTCTGTGGTAGGGCGGGCAGATTGTCCTGATGGAGATCAGGGATTCAGACAGGTGGGATTCAGAGGTGTGCCTGAGGTGACTGCTCTGTGGTAGAGCCTGATGGAGATCAGGGATTCAGACAGGTGCCTGCCTGAAGTCTCACTGCCTCTGTGGTAGGGCGAACAGATCGTCCTGATGGAGGTCAGGGATTGAGACAGGTGTGCCTGAAGCCTGACTGCCTCTGTTGTAGGGCGGGCAGATTGCCCTGATGGAGATCACGGATTCAGACAGGTGTGCCTGAAGTCTGACTGCCTCTGTGGTAGGGCGGGCAGATTGTCCTGATGGAGATCAGGGATTCAGACAGGTGTGCCTGAGGTCTGACTGCTCTGTGGTAGAGCGAGCAGAAAGTCCTGATGGAGATCAGTGATTCAGACAGGTGTGCCTGAAGTCTGACTGCCTCTGTGGTAGAGCGAGCAGATTGTCCCGATGGAGATCAGTGATTGAGACAGGTGTGCCTGAAGTCTGACTGCCTCTGTGGTAGGGCGGGCAGATTGTCCTGATGGAGATCAGGGATTGAGACAGGTGTGCCTGAAGTCTGACTGCCTCTGTGGTAGGGCGGGCAGATTGTCCTGATGGAGATCAGGGATTCAGACAGGTGTGCCTGAAGTCTGACTGCCTCTGTGGTGGGCAGAGATTGTCCTGATGGAGATCAGGGATTGAGACAGGTGTGCCTGAAGTCTGACTGCCTCTGTGGTGGTAGGCGGGCAGATAGAGCGAGCAGATTGTCCTGATGGAGATCAGGGATTGAGACAGGTGTGCCTGAGGTCTGACTGCTCTGTGGTAGAGCGAGAAGATCGTCCTGATGGAGATCAGGGATTCAGACAGGTGTGCCTGAAGTCTCACTGCCTCTGTGGTAGGGCGAACAGATCGTCCTGATGGAGATCAGGGATTCAGAAAGCTGTGCCTGAAGTCTGGCTGCCTCTGTGGTAGGGCGAGCAGATTGTCCTGATGGAGATCAGGGATTCAGACAGGTGTGCCTGAAGTCTGACGGCCTCTGTGGTAGAGCGGGCAGATCGTCCTGATGGAGATCAGGGATTGAGACAGGTGTGCCTATAGTTTGACTGCCTCTGTGGTAGGGCGGGCAGATTGTCCTGATGGATATCAGTGATTCAGACAGGTGTGCCTGAGGTCTGACTGCCTCTGTGGTAGAGCGAGCAGATTGTCCTGATGGAGATCAGGGATTCAGACAGGTGTGCCTGAAGTCTGACGGCCTCTGTGGTAGGGCGGGCAGAAAGTCCTGATGGAGATCAGGTTCATTCCATCATTTGCCTGTCTTGAGCGAAAAATTAAAAACTGATCGAGATTATTGAATCTAAGGCATCCTTATAAAACTGCAGCATCTCAGAGAGCGATGACTGTAAACCAAGCATCCACCAGTACTAGCACAAGCACACACATTAGCATGCATGTATCTACAAGTCTTAAAAGCAATAATAAGTCCTATTTTATCAGCTCCCTTTAGCGGGCAAAGCGTTTCAGGCTGGGTTTGTTTGGGCGAAATATTGGACTGATAATTCGATAATAATTTGAAAATAATCCGCGGATTTCTGCAAGTTCCTATGATCCTTAGACACTAATAAACAGTAACATGGTACTATCAGGATCTTAGCGCTCTGCGGGCTATGACAATATTCCCCATGCACATTACAACTGATTCTACACTGCCACACTGAAGAACGGATTACACATGTAATGTTTGACAATTTGATAAATACACGTAAACACCATGACATAACACATTATAAGTCATCGTTATCCTAGTAGTGCCACAGCTGTTGCATTTACCTAGTAAAACACCCACAAGTATGGAGAGATGCCCGGATTACTGGAGCCATTGTTGATACCAGCGTGCATTCCTCACACAAGGCTGATTATTAATGCATTCGCATTAGATACATACACTAAAAACATAACTTAATTGAAAACAAATTAATGATATGCATCTTCCAATGTGTAACAGATGTTCAATGTCCTGATATAAGAGTTGAGCATGCTATCATACATAGATCCACGTTTTACTTAAACTATCCAAGATGGCAGGAGGACGTTACATATCGAAACACCTTGACAGATCCTATTCGTATTTTATCATGTATAGTCACGTTTAGCAACAACAAGTGTAATAATTGATGGCGCAGCTACCTTACCATGACCTGGTTTGTGTACACATATACACCTGTACAGATCGTCATTGTTTGTTGTGTTCGGTGTGGTAATTTCATAGGTTCATATCGTATGTCATATTTTGGGTTATACACCAGAAGTGATCCACCCTGGTACACATATACATCCTGTCTGTATTTGTTGATCCACCACACATATACACCAGAAGTGATCCTCTGACCACAACACCATGTTTATGCACCCTGAAGCAAATAACTAACTGCGTGATGATTAAATGGGTGATCCACCACACCTATAAAACATGTTGGACCACACACCATGGTTCGGTGAGGTGATCCACCACACCTATACACCAGAAGTGATCCACCACACATATACACACATAGAAGTGATCCACCACACACAATACACCAGAAGTGATCCACACATACACACCAGAAGTGATCCACCACACATATACACCACCACCGCAAACATATACAACAGAAGTGATCCACCACACATATACACCAGAGGTGATCCACCACACCTATACACCAGTAGTGATCCACCACACCTATACACCAGAAGTGATCCTCCACACCTATAAACCAGATGTGATCCACCACACATATACACCAGGGGTGATCCACCACACATATACAGAAGTGATCCAACACGCATATACACCAAAAGTGATCCACCACACCTATAAACAAGAATTGATCCACGAAAGCATACAACCCATTCTTTTATGTACCATGCTGATGAAATGCGACGACCAACCCTACAATATCAATCCCATTGATGTGGCTTGAATCACGACCAAATCCGTGTAAAACAATTATCTTACGTACGCGTGTAATGCCACAACAGACAACATGAGGAAATACAAAAATATGATAAAACGTTAAAAGGCTGGATCGCGCAAGTGGTACTGGGGATCGAACCCGTATCTCTGTGAAACAGTTTTACTATTTGTAACGAAGTAACCACTCTGCTGTGGCCAGCCCGCTGATAGAGAAGACATATCAAGTATGTATAGCCTCAGTACGATAACACCTGTAGTCTGTCTCACAGTCCCTGAGCCACCCTAGCCCTCCCTCCAATGAACGAGTCTAAATATCTCCTGCATTTCCCAGCCTCTTTTCCTTTTAAATGGGTTCATTTGTTGCTATCAATATTATATATATCCAGGGACTAGTAGAGATAACACCGGCACCATTCCTCTAGCTCCCGTCCCCTTGCCCCCTGTTGTTACAATCCAATAATTAGTACCTTTAGCTCCTGGCCTGGCTGTCCTGTTAGCTGTACTCACTCCCCTGTAACTGGATGAACTGCTATTAAGCTGGTTAGGTCAGGTGTTGGTTGTGAACAGGTGACTACGGGTACTTAGGGAGATAATAGAGCATCATGGGTCACTGGGGGCTAGAGGGGTGGAGTCAATATGGCATCATTCCTGATGATAGAAATGACAAGATTAAACACCCTGGACTAGAGTACATGTTATGTGAAAGAGATCTTGACTCATACCTACTAATTACAGATTAGTAGCTTGTAACGACAGGGGGCTAGCTGGACGGGGCTAGAGTGGTGGAGTTATAACACCTTATATTGTTCGAGAGCAGACAATTAAGGGTTTGGGAGCATGGGTTTTATCACTGTACTGAATCATGTCAACTACGGATTGTCGATTGTTGTCTACATTTTTGTTTTACAAAAACTGCCTGTAAAGTTAATTTTGTTGACTCATCTTTTATAATATGAATCAAAATCAACTATTACTATTTCAGTTTCAAAAGTAGAAAAAATCCACCATGAATCAACAAAATACAGTGGTGCCTCCATTTCACATGGGCTGTCTTGAAACGGGAGAATCCAAAAGTTTGAAAACTTAATATTTTAAAAAGAGGCTGGATGGCGCCTGTGGCTCTTGGGTCGAACCCAGTCTTTTGCGTGGAAAGAGTGTTTTGAAGTAAACGAAGTAACCACATGACTGGAGCCAGCCCGCTGTACCGTTGAATAGTTTAGGTATTTATAGTTCCTCATCCATGATGCTGTGCAGTGCAATAACTGACGTCACTCACGAGGATTGTAGAGGGCTTCTCTAAGTATATCTACAACAAAGTGATGCTGTCTGTGGCCAAAGGAGATCACGTGGCTGACTTGACTGACTGAGTTTGGTTTTACGCCGCTTTTAGCAATATTCCAGCAACATCACGGCGGGGGACACCAGAAATGGGCTTCACACATTGGACCCATGTGGTGATTCGAACCCGGGTCTCCGGCGTGACGAGCCAACGCTTTAACCACTAGGCTACCCCACCGCCCCTCACACACAACATGTAGACAGCGATACGAATTCAGTGATATCATTCAAGAAACCCCGCCCAC